CAGCAGGGATGATTCCGGCAGGGAATGCCGTGTTATCCCGCTCACTGCCTGCCCAGCGCCACACACCGCCCGCCCGCTGTCGGGCCCCTGCACGGCGCCTCACACAGGGCACACGGACGCTGATGGGATTTCTTAGGAAACACGTCTGGTTGCAAAATCACAACTTCTGACCGCTAAACCAGCCCCCGACAGCAGATGGCACGTGGCCTAAATAGATGATAATCACAGTAGTAGATAGTCACAGAATCACAGAGTACCCTGAGTTGGAAGGGACCCACAAGAATTATGAAGTCCAACTCAGCCCTGCACAGGACGCCCCAAGAAAACTAATAATTAATAAGAATTCCTTCTCCTTTTTCTCTTTAATTGGTTCTGCGGTGCCACCGGGTTCTCCACAGAGGGAACCACTTAGGAAAGACTCCTCATTTGAAAGCAGATACTGATCTACTGCTGAGATTTTATAAAGACAAACACGTAAAATCTGGTTTTATTTAGCCAAAAGGTTATTAACTTGATGAGAGCATGCAGGCAGTTTCTTCAGGCTGGAATTGTTGTCATTCGTGCCTTTCCAAAGCCCAAGTGAAATACACGTGAATGGTCGGTGAATTACTGTGACGGTGAGGAATATTGGTTTATAACATCCCCAGAAGGACAAGGTCAGGCTGTTATTGATTCGTGCATTGTATCTGCACAGCCAATGCATCGTTGCACAAAGAGGAGGAATGCTTTGGCCCATGAAGAAGTTTTCAGGGCCAGTTCTACAGCTTTTAGTCCATCCTTAACATACTATTTCCCGCACCTCAGTCTGGCCTCCTGGCACTTTAAGGCCATAAATTAAACCACAGCAAGTTCCACCTCAACATGAGGAAGAACTTGGTTCCATGGAGGGTGGCAGAGCCTGGAACAGGCTGCACTTCAGCCACCAGCCTCTCTGAGCGCGCCAGTGCCTAAATTATCTTCCTTGTGTCCAGGCCCAGGAAATCTGCCAAGAAATTTGTGTTTCATTTGCATGATTAAAAATCAATTCTGTTCTACTCAGAAACTTAATAAAAAATTGTTCGTGGCAGAACAAAATGCCAACTGTAATTAAACAACTGCACGAGAAGCAGGTTCCCTGTGTCTGTGTGTTTATTTATGCTCCTGCTCCACGGGGTGACAGAGGAGCACTGGAGCTCATCCCACAGCACTCTGCTGCTCTCTGCTGCCCACCAGGGCAGGGAATCCAGGAAGCCTTCCCTCGGGGAAGAACAGCCAGTTCACCCTTCCAGGAAGGTGTTCCTCTCCTCCTCGTTGGCCCTAACTGGGATGTGAGAGGAACAGAAATTCTGTGTTCACGTGATGAAGGGCTGCAAGGCTCAGGAGCAATAAGGGGGTCATAGGATCATGGAATCACAGAATCCCAGACTGGTTTGGGTTGGAAGGGACCTTAAAGCCCATCTAGTTCCACCTCCCTGCCTATGGCAGAGACATCTTCCACTAGACCAGGTTGCTCCAAGCCCCATCCAACCTGGCCTTGGGCACTTCCAGGGATGGGGCAGCCGCAGCTTCTCTTTCATTAGTCATTGGAGAAATTCTTTTATTTTCATATAAAACTTTATGGTAAAAGGTTTTTGGTTACTAACAGAAACGCCTCGTGCTGTGATCAGGGAAAATTGAAGATTGTGTTGGAGGAAGCCTTTGAAAAGTTATTGATGCGTTACACTGTGATCCTCTGCCCATCTGGGACTCTAATTTTGTTTACTGTATGTCACCAGACCAATCATGTGTTGATTAATTCCTTTTAAAACAGGGACAGTGACCCGCCTCCTCCATGGACTAACGAAGACAATAATTTGGGTACCAAGTCACACTTGCTACTCACACAGCTTCAACTTTTGGTTCGGTTTTCAGCCTAAGGGTTTGGCCTGACAGGGCAGCTTGGTCCAGTTGTGAGGGACAGGTGTGTCAGGCATTGCACAAAAGCTGTTTATAATCCCAAACTGATGATAAACTTACATTAGTTTAGAAGTGGATAATACTGATTGAAGTTTCTTTGGTTTCTTGTAGATAAAAATTAAAGTAATCCATCCCACATTTGAATGGATACGGTATAAGACAGGGGATTTCAGGACTCATTTGGGAGAATGTGCCTACAACTCTCTGACAGGAGTGGGGAGCCAGGTGGGGATCGGGCTCTGCTCCCAGGGAACAAGGGACAAGACGAGAGGAAACAGCCTCAAGCCATGCCAGGGGAGGTTCAGGTTGGACATCAGAAGGAATTTCTCCATGGAAAAGGTGGTCAGGCATTGGAAGGGGCTGCCCAGGGCGGTGGTGGAGTCCCCATCTCTGGAGATGTCCAAAGAAGGACTGGAGGTGGCACTCAGTGCTCTGGGCTGGGTGACAAGGTGAGGATTGGTCACAGGTTGATCCCTGCTGGAATCTGAGAACTACTTGTCTCCATCTGTTTTTTTCCCTGCCACCAAGGGGTTAGTCATTAACCTTCCTGCTGCCTCTGGAAATTGAACCATACGGATATTTTATGCTGTGCATTTCTTGGAATGGAGTTCATCATTAACCACCCAGCTGCTCTCTAGTCCTTTCTGAGCTGCTCCTGCTTATCCAGGCTGTTGATGTGAGGAGCAAGCTGGTCTAATGGAAGGTGTCCCTGCCCATGGCAGGGGATGGGATGAAATGAGCTTTAAGGTCCGTTCCAGCTCAAAGCAGTCTGGGATTCCACGGTTCTATGATTTTGTTCCATTTGGAGAGTTAAAGAAAAAAACCAAACCCAGACCTGCTTCTGGCACAACTGCAGCGATCGCAGGGCTCTGCTGAGTGTCCTGTGCAGTGTCTGTCACATTTATCTCGGCAGTTCCCGAGCAAGAGGCTGAGGAGACACTTCATGCCCTGTTTCTGTAGGGAGTGCACAGGGTGCTCCCTGTAAAATCACCTGTGAAATCCCCTGGCCAACCTGCAGCTTGGTGTCACAGTAAGGTGTAAGTGTGCTGGCACAGCTAAAAAGGACACAAATCCGTGTTTGAACCAAACCCAGAGTACTGCCGGTTTGCTTTTGAACCTCTGCAGTGAAGACACTCTGAGCACTCCCAATGGGAATCAGAAAAGCAGAACATGAAAATTATTTCAGCTCTGCTTTACTTACTAAGTTCAGGTTTTTAAAGCCCATTCCCATTTCTGTACAGCTCAGCCCGTGGAAGTTGCCAGAGGAATGCTTTCCCTGACTACTTGCCAGCTGAGAAACAAACCCCAATTCTTTGAGTGATGCAAACCACTGCCGGGCTCTTGCTGTACATCGCTTACAACACTGCCTGCAACGTGACTTGTTTTGCTTACAAGCTGCCACAGAGTGTTGCAATTCAGCTCTAAAAATAGAAAAGAGTTTTATTTATCCCACTATTTATCCCAAAGCTGTTGTTGTCCCAGCTCTCAGAGTCACAGCCAGTCCTGTTGTCTCCAAGTGCTGCTACTTGTCCCTTTGGCAAAGGATAATTGAACCACAGAGCAGGAGAAACACAGCAGTGGTTATCCACAGAAATAGGAACACATTTCTAGGAACCTGGTTGGAAGTCACAGATGTTTCTTAGCTTCGCATTTTGTTGCTGCAGAGAGTTGGGGGCTTTGGACTCAGGGAAAACCAGGTTTTTAAATGGAAAGTTCCAAATATTTAGGTACTGTTTAAAGGGGGAAAAAAACCCCCAGACCCTCCTTTCTGATACTAAGACTGTGCTCCAGGGTGGGTTTCTGCTCCCCAGCCCTACAGTTGGATCACCCTGTCATTCCTGTCAGCAGTTCATGGACAGCACTGGGAATGGTTCCCAATCTTCTTCCCAGCCTTTCATGTTTCTTGTGTCAGGAAGACACAAATAGGCCCCATATCTAGAGAATTTGTGGAGTGAGGCTAAGTATCTTGTACCCAAGTGCATTTATTTTATGTGCATTTATTGTTCATTTTTGATGGAAAGTGTGCTGTGAGTACTGACAATGGATATTTTCTCAATTATGAGGACAGTGGGACACAGCACAATGGGGATTACAGACCTGCTTTATATCCACGTGCTTTAGCCCTCAAATCCCACCTTACAGGGCCTTGGAATGACACTTGCCTTTTCCCGCCATATCACCATTCCCACATAACTTCAGAGCATGGCATTACTCAGAAAAGCCATTCCTGTAAGAGATACTCTCCAATGTTTGGCCCTGCACTTCCATGGGTACAGATTTCCATGGAACATGGACCTGCTGGAGTGAGCCCAGAGGAGGCCACAGAGGTGCTCCGAGGGCTGGAATCCCTCTGCTCTGGAGATAGACTGGGAGAGCTGGGGGTGTTCACCTGGAGAAGAGAAGGCTCCAGGGAGACCTTAGAGCCCTTTCCCATGCCTAAAGGGGCACCAAGAGAGCTGGAGAGGGACTTGGGACAAGGGATGGAGAGACAGGACAAGGGTGAGTGGCTTCTCACTGGCAGAGGGCAGGGATAGATGGGATATTGGGAAGAAATTCTTGGCTGTGAGGGTGGGGAGGCCCTGGCACAGGTTGTCCAGAGAAGCTGTGGCTTCCCCATCCCTGGAAGTGTCCCAGGCCAGGTTGGACAGGGTTTGGAGCAACCTGGGCTAGTGGAAGGTGTCCCTGCCCATGGCAGGGGGTGGGATGAGATAAGGTTTAAGGTCCCTCCATATCCAAACCAGTTTGTGATTCCATGATTTTATAACTTGATCCCATCCCCTTTTCTAGGATCAAGTGCAAAGGCTGGTGTCTGTTTTTAAATCCAAATATCCTTCAGTCTCTCCCTGCCCCTTTTTAGTAATTCAGCCCTGCTCCAGGAGCAGCTCCGTGCAGATTCCAGCCGTGCTGGATGCAAAGCTTTGGTTGCATAATTAAGCTGGAAATGCCAATCCTTGCGGGCTCATCCCGGTGCGCGGGGCCCTGAGCGGCGGAGGAGCGGGTTTCCCGCAGCATCCTCGGCTGGCTCCGGGAAGGGAGGGCTCTGGAGCCGGGAGCGGTGCTGACGTGCTGCCGGAGCTGCAGTGACTCCGCAATGGCTGAGGCTGCTGGCACGGAGCGCATCCCGCCGGCCCGGAGCGCCCGCACCGCGCAGCCTGCCCGGGAAACCTGCCCTTAGCTCCGCACTGCTCGGATCCGCGGCGGGTGAGCACACCTTACTCTGGGGTTGATTGGTTTTTATTATTTTTTATTTTCTTTTCCTTCTCTGTCCTCTCAGTGCTTCCCCGGACCGATGGATGCATCACTCCTAATCCGATCCCACTGTTCAGAGGACGGAGGGGGAAAATAGAGTCATATTCAGCAGGGATGGATTATTTTTTTTAGCCTTTTGCAGAGTGAATTGTAAAAATCCCTTTAAATGTGTCTGCTGAGAGCAACCTACAGGTTTTATCTGAAGTGCACTGCAGGCAGGGGCTGATGCTCCCTCTGTGCAGCAGGATGGAGCGACGTTAGATCCTACCTGTGCTCATTAATTAGCACCTACCTGTGCTCATTAGTCAGTGCCTACCCGTGCTCATTAATTAATGCCTGTATGTGTTTATATGTGCCTACATGTGTTTATCAGTGCCTGTATGTGTTTATGCATCTATAGATATGGACATAATGTGTGTTATATAGAGAGAGATATATAGGTATATAGACATATAAATGTATAGATGTGTTACATATGACCCATCTGCTGCCTAAAGGCTTTGTAGGACCCATTTTCAAATGTGCTGTTTTGCATTCTATATTTGGGGTTATTCCACCCCCTTCCCTTCGGTGTGGTTATAACCACGGCTCTGATTTGCAAAGCTTTGCCCTTGGATGCCAGGAAGGGGATGGCTCTGCCTGGCACTGGGTCCCCGCTGTACCTTCCTGCTCTGTTTATTCCTCAGAATCTTACAGCAGCTCTGTCGTGTGTGATGGAGTTGAAATGCCAGGGCCTGTGATTGCTGATAAATCTCCTCTGCAGCTGTAGATGTTGGTGTTTGGAGTAATACATGTGATGATGAATTGCTGTAACAAATAATCTGTCTCTGTGCTCACCAAGGAACTGATTCGAGTATTTCCTGTTTGCTGAACTCCATCGACTGCGTGTCTCAGAACTGCTTCCCATTACAATCCTATACCTGTCAGGAAATCAGTCTCCATCCCTGGAAGTGTTCCAGGCCAGGTTGGATGGGGCTTGGAGCAACCTGGTCCAGTGGGAGGTGTCCCTGCCCATGGCAGGGGGTGGTACAGGTTGAGCTTTAAGTTCCCTCACAACCAGTTCCCACAAAGAAGTCTGGGATTATGATTCTACTCTGTGCTGTTTAACCTGTTAGGTTAAAAAAAGAAACTTCTTTATTTTTCTTTCCCAGCTGCTCGCTCCCTCAGTGGATTTAAATGTCATTTATCTCATCCACATTCCTTTTCCTTGCAGTTCATGTGATGCCTCTACTGACGCTGCTTAAAATGCAGACAGAAATTAGAAAGCACATTGGAGTGGGGTTGGCTTTTGCCTGTTATTTCTCACATTGTGATACTTCTAGAGAGATGCGTGTGGTACAAAATAATAATTTCCTGGCAGGAGATGCTCACAGCTTAAGCCTGGGCTCTCAGCTGACATGCAGCATCCTTGTCCTGCCCCCTGCTCTGCACTTTGGCTCCTCTCTGTGCGTGGAAGTGCTTGGTGGATGCTTAAAATATGCTCAGAAATTGAGAGTTTCATAGGGACTGTCTAAATACTTTACCTTTGCAGTGGAATTTCTGCCTGGTTTGTGCTGACTCTTGGCAGCTTTCTGACTTGTAACCTGCAAATATCAGACTTTAGGAATCTTAATGTTTGTAGTGGTGATTAAAGGCCAATGACACCAGTACAACGCCACAAGAATGCCCTGACCAGAGGAAGGTGCATTTGTCACCAGGGCCCTGATGGAGAGAATAAGACCCCATTTTAATAAGGCTTTAAAGAATGTGCTGAAGGCCCATTGGTTGTCTTGACAAATACCAGTCTGGGATATATTTGTGGCACTGTGTGCTTGTAAATCCTTCACTTATTACACGCTCAGTTGTCAACACCTCCCACATGGTGAAGTTTCACCAAGTTTCCCAGAGCACTGTCAGTTTACATGAAGAGTAAAACTTTGCTTCACTTTTTTTTTTCTTTTTGCTTCCAAAATACATCTCTAAAATATTACTTTTTATTGCAGATGACTTGAATTCAAAGTAGCATCAGCAAATGAATGTTACCAAGTGAAGGCCTTTAAATAATAATTTGTGTTAACACTTGCCCTTAAAACATATGTTCTCATCTTGTCACCTTCTGCAGTGCAGCTCTTCATGTATGATCAGCAGCAGAGGTTCAGCTTAAATGGAAAAAATAATTAAAAACGCAAGTTCTAAAAATTTTATATGTGCCAGTTGACTGTGATGTAGGATTTGAACCCATCCAGCTACTCTGGGAGTGAGCAATTTTAAGACACATAACAGCATTTGTACTAATGTATTCATGGTAAAAGCAGCCAAATATTAGCCAATACATCAGAATTCCAAATTAAATCACTCCTGTGATCCTGTCTTTATTTGCCCACGTGTATCTGCATGCAAAGGGAAAGGGAGCTTGCCCCTAGAGCATCAAGTGTTGGATATTATTAGTGGCAGAATACTCATTAAACCTGGAAAGGTAATTCCTGATTTTCCTTTGGCAATTACAGGCAAGTGTGCTGTAGTCAGATAAACCCCAAAAGATCTCAGGAATTTAATATAGTGCTGTAGAAATGATTCTAATGGAGAATGACATCCTGCTAGAATTTTTAAAATCAGTTCAGTGCAGATCCACAGATGGTTATTTCCAGGCACATGTGATCAGGGATTTGTTATTCACTGGTGGTGAAGAATCGAGAGGAGGGTTCAATACATTTTATTTGTGGAGCTTCCTATAATCCCCCAGAGGGACCCTCCGTAAAAGCAGAGGCAGTGCCTGAGGAAAGAGAGTTAGGAAAGGCTTGGGAGAATGTCTGGAGGACAGAACTAGTTTCCTCAAACACACAGGCCAGCAGCAGGGTGTGAAGTGTTGGCTTCCCTTAAATCCCATGGATATCCTGGGTTTGAGCTATTGCACTGCTGCTGTGGTCATTCAACCTTGACAAGGTCATGTGCAAATGGGGACGCTTAAGAAGAGTCAGTTTAAGCTCAGAGAGTGTCTTTTCTATCCTTTGAACTAATGTTTCTGGTTCTAGTTTTCCCCTGTTGCTGGCTCCAGTTCAGCTTTCCCAGCCTGGAGCCCAGCTGGTCGGTGAGGGGCTGCAGGCTGGGCCCCTCAGCTTTTCCAGCTCATTGGGATGAGAACAGAAAACCATAGAATCATGGAATGGTTTGGGTAGGAAGGGACCTTAAAGCCCATCCAATCCCACCCCCTGCCATGGGCAGGGACACCTTCCACTATCCCAGGTTGCTTCAAGCCCTGTCCAACCTGGCCTGGGACACTTCCAGGGATGGGGCAGCCACAGCTTCTCTGGGCAACCTGATGTCCCAGGACTAACTGAGAGCTGCAGCTGGTCTGGAAAGCTGCTGCCCAAGTGTTGGATATTGTGCACTGGTTTAGTCATAGTCACAGCCGGAATTTATCCCCTGGGAGCAGCTCGGTGTGGATGTGAGCAGTGCGAGGCTGTGGGGTGAGAAGCTGCTCCGACTGGCCGTCACTCTGTGGCCACCCTTGTTTCTCTGGTTGGGCCCTTTGAGAATCAGAACAGGGGTAATTGGTTCAACTCAGGCTTTTAGCACTAAAAACCATCTCCTCTTTTGGCTGACTGCTGTTATGTCTCCCATGACCCCTGGTTGTGTAATCCCTGTGTTCCCTGGCACATCCCGATGGTAGGGACAGAATTAATGGACTCCAGATGGCACAGACGATATTTACTGGATGTAAATCTGCACCAAACTCCTTATTAATGGGGTTTAATTAAACAGAAATTGCACACAAAGCCCTGATTCTGATGCCACTGAGACAGTGTCAGAAATCCTACTGCCCTCAGGGCCTCGGGATGTGCCCAAAGGGACAACTTTGCCAAATACCTGAAGTGGCTGAAGATTTACTGATTCACACCAACTTCTAGCAGGACTCTTACAGTAATATTCCCATGGCCCTCCTGACAAGGGTTTGCTGCATGTTAACTAATTTTATACTAAAACAATGATTCTATTCACTTGATATTGGATTACTTTTCCAGCTGCTTCCATAACAAATTAATTGCAGCCATGGTTTGTAACAAGAACGTGTCTGGTTTGGATGAGGATAGTGCTGTTAAAGCAAATCTCTTGAGGATGCCCATTTGCATTCTGGTTTGAGTGATGGTGTGGCCTCAGCATCCACAGTCTGGATTCCTTTTGGATAAAACTGAGCCAGAAGGTGTTTTCCAACCAGAAACTGGTGCTCACAGTGCAGGATAACACTAGACTTTGAAGTTCCATCAAAATGTTCCATAATGTTGTCTTTCTGTAGCAACAGGGTTCGTTCTCGGATATGAGATTTTCTTACTTTATCTGTAGAGCAATAATAGCAAAGAAAGGTAATGAGAAGCTTGAAGGCAGAGTAAAATCTAATATCCAGAGCACAGATTTTCTTTACCTCCAAGGCTGTTTCAGATTTTCACACAAATCAGAACAAAACATTCCCTACATATAGTTGATATGGTCGTGTTTGTGTGTTGAAGCAGACAGTCATTTAAAGCCCCAGCCTTGTCAATGTGGGGAACTGCAGAGATCTGTGTGCCACGATGTGATATCTGGATTTTATCCTGGTTCAAGGACAGAGCAGCAAGTCCTGAGGGCTTGGTCCATCACAGTAAATATCCAGTGATTTATGGGACACTTTTATCTTTACATGTTGCTTGTGTTGTTAGGAAAAGAAAATTATGAATCACCATGCATTATTTCATTATTGCCTAATATCATAACTCCTTCTTGCCTGCTACTCAGGCCAGATTATCCTGACAGTGTTCCTTGGGAAACATTGGATGGGAAGGCCAGTTATGGTTCAGTTCAACAGAAACCATTGGAGTACCCAGTGATGTCTCAGGGAGAAGGAACAGGACACACAGTGCATGGCTGTGAATACACAGGTGACAACTCTCACTGCTCAGCTCTTCCACCCACTGTCCAAAGCCTGTCCCTGCCTGGAA